TGAAATGGTATCACACATTATGAACACAGCCACTGGCTCTGTGCACCTCTAGCTCATTCCTGTTCAGTGCTGTGCCATATCTCACCATAAGGCACTTAACGGACCATTCCGCCTGCTGATCCGTGAGGAAGTCTCCAAGACGGCCCCGAGGGATCTCCTGGCTTTTGAGCTCTTCTAGAGTCTCCTCCTGTTTAACCACAAGGACACGGCGGAAGGGGCGGTGTGACTTCCACGTCCGGGTCATGAAGACACTACAGCTTGTGCCTTGCACTCTCAGATCACGAGCCGGGGTTGAAGTCAGCTGCCACGCCGTGAGGACACTCCATCAGCCTACGGAGAGCTGGGCCCTCCTGCCGACAGCCAGCATCAACCTACCAGCTGGCATCACAAATGTTAAATCACCTCAGATTCCAGAGATCCATCAAACTTGCTCAGGATGGCTTGGTATACATTTCTGGTTTGGGTTTAGTTTTCATATCCACATTCATAAGTGAATTTGGCTTTTAACTTTTTTCATGTCCTGTTTTCTGGTTTTGATATAAACATTTTATTTGTTGTATAGAATTTTTCTGTTTTCTGGAATAGTCTCATGTAAAATATTGGACTAAGTCTTCTCATTGAATATCAAGTAGAATTTGCCTGTACAACCTTCTAGGTCATATGTGTTTTGATTTTACTTTGGTTTTGGTGGGGACATTTTCAAACTACTCAAGCCATTTCTTTCAAGGTTATAAGTCCATTCAGGTTTTCTATCCTTCAGTAACTCTGGGTAGGTTATCTCTGTGTAAGAGACTGCCCATTTCAACTAAGTTTTCAACTTTACTAGCATAAAGCTTTCTAAAGTGTGTATCATCTTTAGCTTTCCTCAGTCTTCCCAGTTTTTACTATTTTATTAGTCTTCAGAGAACGTGCTCTTCGCTTTGTTGATCCTCCCCACTGCATGTGTGTTCCCTGTCTTTACTCTGCTCTATATTGCTTCTTTGAATGTGTTACATCCTTTTTTAACCTAGCTCTGAAGGCACACAGCACATCACTCTTCAGTCTATTATTTTCTAGGGCAGCGTTTACAGCCAGGCCGCTCCTCTGCTAAACATCATGGCTGCATCCTTAAGTTGCATTTTCATTACTCTTCAGTTCTAATTCACTTAAAATGTCTTTTTTGATCCTGACTTATTGGGAAATGTCTTTGTGTCTAAATGTATGAGTGTGCAAGATGCTCTATCATTGTATTCCAACACCCATCTGTCCTTTTTCCCTCTCGCATGACAACGGGGATGACGGTTATGTGTCCAGCAAGCACAGACTCACCTCCTGGCCTCCCTTGTAGGTAGGCCGGGCCTTATAGGGCTTCCCTAGTAGCTCGGGTGGCCAAGAATCCACCTGCAATGCAGGAGACCTGGGTTCAATCCCTGAGTTGGGAAGATCCCCTGGAGAAGGGAATGGCTAACCACTCCAGTGTTCTTGCCTGGAGAACCTCATGGACAGAGGAGCCTGGCGGGCTACAGTCCGTGGGGTCGCAGAGAGTCTGATGTGAGTGTGTTAGAGCCTGCCAAGTTCCAATGAGCCAAAGACGGGGGCATGTCATCTTCCAGGACACGGTCTGCAGGGACACCATCACCCCTCCCGCTTCCTTCCTTCTTCCCACCTTTCACCATGCACCTGCAGATGGAAGGCACGAACTACAACGGTGGGGCTGGCCCTGGGGAAGCCGGGGTCCCTGGGGACCAGGAGCGCTTCCCCACTGGCCCTGAACCAACTCCCTCTGGACGTGAGAGAGAGTCTGCCTGTACTGGGCTCAGTCACTGTCAAATGTAACGTCTGGTCAAATGCAATTCCTAACTGATGAAGACGGGTTTAAGACACCCCTCTGGAGGTGGCCCTCGGGCACAGTGGACAGCCCACTGGACTTCGGGAGATGACATCACCACGGTGCTGGGTTTCTTGATCTCAGACGACGTCACACACTCAGAAGCATTTACAACTTGGACTAACAATAAAACCAACAGCATCTCCTCCCCCACCCTACCTGCAAGAAGAGGAAGGCTTCCCGTGTCTGCGTCCCGGCCGCGTCAGCTCCCCTCCTGCCCCTCTGGCCCCAGCTCCTCTGGATTCTGTTCCACTTCCCCTGGTTTCTCCCTTAGAGTCATAGTCCACAGTTGTGCTAAATGACACTGCCCTATTTTCCTTCTCTTTCAACTTCGTACAGAATGGCCACACTGCATATTTTCCTGTGCATTTCTTTTCCCCTCAGCGTTATGAGACAAGCCTATTAATACTATCTGGACACATGGTCGGCTTGAGTCCACGTTATTTACTGCATGAATACACCACGCACCCTCCACTCCGCATTAATGGAGATATGGGTTTTTTCAGGCTTCAGGCTATTACAAAATGCTGCTGTTTCACTCTCCTACTCATCCCCTGGGGACCTCGGGACAGTCTCTCCAGCAAAGTGCTTCCTGACGTGACACATTCGGGAATGGATGACATCCACGTGGCACACGGGAGGTAAGCTAGAGGGGCTGGGGGGTCTTCAGAGGCTGCAGCGGCAGCCCAGACTCTGGCCACCTAGACAGAGGAGGGAGCAGTCAGATGGAGGGCACCAGAGCCCCACGAGCAGGGTGGGCACATCAGCAACACTAGCAGAGACCCCCATCTCTTGAAGGCACCCGTCAGCATGCCGTCCCCTTGGCATCACATCAGCGTGCCCCCCTCCTCACCAAACCTCAATACTGTCAGACTTCATCTTTGTTTAAAAAGAGAGAAAAAAACAGCTCTGTGGTCTTAATCCCCATTTTCCTCACCACTAACAAGATGCTGCATCCTCTCATGTTTACTGTCCACTCTTATTTCCTCTTCTGTGAAATACCTAAGCATCTCTTCTGCCAGTTTATCGGGTTGCTTCATCTTTTCAGAGACCTTCTCCCCCACTGTTAACATCTCCTGGATCGTGACGGTCTGATGTATTATGAAATCTCCGTGTTGACAGCCTGTTTTCCACTTTTCACTGTTCATCACTTGATAGAATAAGAGATTCTATTTGTCAGTCTCTTCATAACTTTAGCTCTTTTGTGTCTTCTTTAGGAAATTTTTCTCTGTGCTATTTATTATTCATTCCCAACTTAACTGTTTTACAGTCAGAGAACATGTTCTATGAATCAGGTAATTTAAAGTATGCTGAGTTTTACTTTCTGCTTGAACATGAGGGTTTGTGTGTGTTCACATGCCCACTGGTTATTTGACAATAAAATGCATTTTCTAATTGTTGAGTGGAAGGTTCTATAACAAACGTCCAATAGAGCAGAGATAACAAACGCCGGTGGAGGGAACGGGTGACAAATCCAGCCTGGCCGTCCGCTGACAGGCATACTGTCCCGGGCTCCCTTAAAGGGCAGAGTTCAGTGGCTGGGGCCGAGACGGCAGAGCCCCACAGAACTGAACACGCTCCCCAGCTGGCCCTTCACGGGCTTCCCTGGCGCTCAGTGGCCAAGAACCGGTCTGCAATGCAGGAGACTGGTCTGATCCCTGGCCGGCAAAAATCCCCGCAAGAGCAAACAGCTACCACTCCAGTACTCGTGCCTAAAAACTCCCATGGACAGAGGAGGCTGGTGGGCTGCAGTCCCTGGGGTCGCCGAGTCAGACATGACTGAGCCCCACGCCACCACCGCCTAACCCTTGACAGCAGTGTTTGCCAACCCCGTTGTTGTGTTCGAAACTATTTCCTTTTTGTCTGCTTAACATCAACTAAGGAGAAGAGCTGTGTAAAAATCTTCTCTGACAAGGACACTTCCGACAGATGGCAACCTTTGTTTACGCTGCGGCTGTTTTATGACATCCGGCACCAGGCCGTGCCCTTTCCTGCAGCATTTCCTCTCCTCTCCCTGATGCGCTGGTCCCTTTCGCCCCTGGTAATTATCTTCCCTGAAACGTCTGGATGACGTCGTCACTGACAGCTTCTTGCTGGCCTTCTCTCCTCTCTCACCTCTTACATCCTGGGTGTGCCGCTCGGAAACCAGGCAGCAAGCAGCAGCCTCAGTTTCCCCACAGACCCCACAGCCTCCATCGTTTCGTCAGGATGTCTACTCCACTTACCACACAGGCAGTGACAGACGGACCTGGTTTCATTTCCACCATCTTAGACGGCATTTTCCTTCTGCACCTTTTCCCGCCCCTCGCCCGCCCCACCTCATCCCTGACACCCTCTGATAGACTTCTACTGGGCAGCTCTGCCAGCACGCGGGCTCTCTGTTCCCTGACCAGGGATGGAACCCTCACCCCCCTGCCTTACAAGTGCTAAGGTTTCATCACCAGGGACGTCCCCTACCTTCTTTGGGATTAGGAATTTTTTAACTCTATGTTTTAACCATTTTCCCCCAAAAGAAAGTAGTTTATTGATTTTAGGACAAAGTAAGATGCTCTCAGAAATTTTTTTTAAGTGAAGAAAATTCTTCTGGAACTTTAAGACTTTTCTAAAATGCTATTTTTGTCCGACACAATACAGAAAACTCTCCAGAGGCCACTGCCAGGGCTGGAAGGCGCAGTTCACAACCCTGGGCCCCCTCCCCGCCACTGGCTGAAGCCGCCTGTTCAGAAGCAGGGCTTGCACTCGTCCGCGCCCTCCCTGCCCCGCCGCCTGGGGAGCCCCTCTGCCAGCACCCACTCCAGCTGTTCCTCACGCCACCAGCCTCCTCCCCGCCTCGGCATCCTGTACAAGAGCCTGGGGGGGGGGGGGGNAACAGGCAGGGCACAAGCTGCTTCTGGTCAGGCTGGCTCAGAAGGAAAGCCAGAGGTCATGTGCTCACTGCTGCCGCTTTAGGCCCGAGTCTGGTTGCGGGGTCAGCACGCTTGAAATGAAGTGTTAACCTTTTCAGGCTTCTCCCTAACGCTGTATCAGGAACGCTAGACTACAAATAAAGCGGAAAGGTTCATCAGTGTCTCTCCCTGCCAGAACACTGTAAAAACAGCTGAACCGTTATCCAGATTTAAACCTCTCTGCTTGCTTCTTTCTCATTTACTTTTATTGTGTTCTTTTTAAATGGAGAAATACATCATCTCTTTTCAAAATAGCGCTTGAAAAATACAAGGAGTACAGATACTATAAAACAAAGCAAACTCCAGTCATGAGATACTATGCACACCGTATGAAAAAATAGTCCGATATTCAGGTAATGAAAACTAGAATTAAAAAGGTCCAACTTTCCAGCTTGGAAAAACAAGTACAATTACACAAAACACTTAATAAACTAATTTCCCCCAATGTGTGAACAAAACGACAGGACTAAATTTGTGCCTGGCAATTTCAATGACACAATAGCTATTCAAAATACACAGGTACTGTACACACGTCACCCGATTTTATTGCAGCAGGACGGGGGAGGACCACACAGGTGGCAGGAACACCGTGCACCAGGCGTCAGGAAGTCATGGTGAAGAGTCCCAATTACTGCACAGCCCACGACGGAAACAACTATCATCCAACCCTGGGGAGATTATTCAACAGGACGGGGAAAGAGTTTAAGAAGCTGCAGTTTGAGATGAAAAATGCACGTGTGGTAGAAAGGAACCCTGTCGGGGGATGGCAAGAGTCAGAACCAGGCTGTATGGAAAACCTGGTAGGTCTGCTGTGTCCAGAATAAGACTAAGTTTTCATTCCCCTACAAGTGCCGGCATTCCTGTTTTTCAACATGAATGTTCTGTGGCTTAATCATGAGTGGTCTTTTTTTCTAATTTAAAGAAAGGTATCTCGAATCTTTTGCAGGATAAACAAGAGTAGAAAGCTGACCAGATGTCAAGTGCTTGCTAGAAATGTTTTATGTTTCTACATGTAAATTTCACTAATGAATTTTCATAAGTCACTTACAAATAAAAATTTGATTTAAAATTCTAGAGAAAATGCTTTTGCTAACACGTTTAAATTAGAAATTAACTTTACCATAAGCAGGTATTCTGTGGAGTATATGCATTTTCTCTTATGTGGAGACTGAACGGCCATCCAACATGGATAACATGCTTCACGGGAATTACTTTTAGTAAAACTTCACTGAAATACTGGCCAGGTGGCCACAGGACTGTTGGTTTCACATCATGGTTAAGAAAACACGAGCATACTGAGTTTTCTGTGAAACAATATACAAGCGCACCTTGTGCACACAAGCAGAGAGAAGGCAGTAGGGGTGGGGGATACAAAAAGTTCTTTCTTGTTTTAAGACAGATGATTAAGGATAAGAGAATATGGAGCTTTGTTAGCTCAATTCAGTATCTGCTGTCTGACCACTGATTGTACGCACCCTGAAACAGTTCTACAGATAAAACCAGTGTCTCCTTTCTTGATCTTGTCCCATCAAAACCAAACACCTACTAATTACCGTTCCAATGCCAAGTGCACATCCTAAGAGTGGATATTTCGTTTGAAAGGGTTACCTCACAGGACTGAGCCAGGTGGACCTGATGCCTTTTCTGAAGTACAGTACACCACTCACCGCACAATGGGAACCCATCTGAAGATTAATAGTGAAGAACAGCCTTCAGGAAAAACTGAAATTCATCAAGCTGAAAAATCTAAAATTAGTTCTACTTTCTAATAAAAATATACATAAAGTGCATCAGCATAATGAATTCTGATACCAGTTTGTATTGCAAACTTCCCCCAACAATACATTCAACATCAATCCCATCCAGATGTCAGTCATGGGTACAAATATAGCTGGAGGAATTCTTTCCTCACTTTTTCCTCCTAAAGGGCAGGAGTTCTTTGAAATAGCATAACTGTGGCTAACACATAAGTAACCTCACACATTAATAACAGCACTTCTAGCTTCACATACTAACCTGGACTTCTGACCAAGGTCAGCCCATGAGAGAAGGCACCAAGTGTACCTCATAACCCTATCTGGGGCCGCATCTAGTCTGGCACCCTCCGTTCTCCTCCATTAGCACGTGAAGACAGCAGGTAGAGTTGGCAGATACTGTTTATGGACCCTTGAGGTGTTTTTCTCAGTTCAATCTGTTTTATTGAATTCTTGATAACAGGAATAGGATCTGCAGGGAGAGCAGGGGTACTGGGAAGGTCTGCAGTGGATGTTCCCCATGAGGCCAACAGAAGCTGCTGTCTGAATGGTTTTCAATCAAGTCACACTGGTCTCTCTCTGAGAACATTCCTCTTCTGTTTTGGCTGCCTTGGTCCTTTCTTCTTGGTGACGTGACAATGTCCTCTAGACTCCTACGATAGGATTTGCTATGCTTGCTGCTGCGCTCCCAGAAGGCCTGGGTGGATGGCTGACCAGCCGTGCCGAGGAAACAACTCTGGTGACCGTGGGCTTCGGTGCTGGAGGAACAGCTGGCTGTGAAGCGGTCTGAGGGATGCTTTCACTGGGCAGGCCCCCAGGGCTGTCACTGGGATTTGCTTGCTGAGAGGAAACTTCAGGAAACTGTACACCGGTCACAGATGCTGCCGCCGCAGCCGGGGCAGGACTGTTTCTGCCTTGAGTGCTGCCAGTCACTCGGCCAGTCTTCGAAGCGGCAGGAAGTGATGACACAGGCGTGCTGTTCTCACCGTCGACAGACAAGTCAAGGCTGCCGTCATCCAAGGCTGTCAATCTGACACCTTCTGTCGAAAGTGTTTTCTTTTTCTGAAGCACATGATTAGGCAGTAGTTGATGAAGTTCCTTTCTTTTCAAATGCATTGCAGCAATTTTCATGTCCATCTCAAACATTTTACTATTTATCGCTTGCCTATACACAGTGTCTGTGAAAGACTGGATATCATAGGTGAGGTCAATACTGAGAACTTCAGAGTTTTCTGGCTTTTTTAACACTAACCCAATCACCCACATTGTACGAAATTCTTCCTTGTCAGGACTCTCCTTGGGTGCTGGAAACGACTGAGGATTCACATGAGCCAGTGTAATAAATTCATTCTTCTCCAAGCTTCCAACCAGGATTCGGATTTTTGATTCCACCAAGCCCACCCACTCTAGATGTTGTTTCTCTGTTGGCGCACTTGCCAGAAGCACAATATAATGTTTGTACTTCTGGAAGAAGCTGGGTGCTTCAAAAAGTTTGGACCACTCTGCCTTACTCAGCAAAATCTCATGTGTGATAGCAAGCCCTTGCTTAAACTCCTCAATCATGACCATCCGCGTTGAAACAGACACGTTGTATGTCGAGTTCTGCTGCGGGTATGCTGGTGTAATTATGGGCATGAGATGGTACCTATCACTGGGATTTACTCTTGGGTCCCAAACAGGCAAATTCAGATTCCGTTCTTCCGGCTCTTTCAGTAGCACTGGATTTGGCCATTCCCACTCAGAAAACACCAAGAAAAATTTACGGACAAGAGTTGATGCTATGGCATTTGGATAAAGCTGGCAAGTTCTTGCTACTAGCATCGCCCAGGAAACACCCCCGAGGAAACCTAGTATATTGGAATAAATATTGTGACATTTGGCCCACAGCTTGATGGCTCTCAGAGTTAATCTGAAGTTGTCAATGTTTGGTACTAGATGTAAAATCTCATCAGTTACCCGGCAACCATTAAGGCTTCTTATGCATCTTATATCTAAGTTTTTAAGCAGACTGTCATCTCTTAGGTCCAAATCTTCAGGAATAGTCTGCAGTGCTAATCTTGCAAACAAAATATCAATCTCTATCCCATCGAAACACAGTTTGATAACCGGTACAAATGCCTCCTCAACAGCCCTTAAATCCTTTACTTCTTCATGTAGTTTCAATTTATCATAGAAGGAGGTGAAAAAGTCGCTTCGATCAACGTGTCTCGGTGCCACGCACAACGCATCGATATCTGCACCTTTCGTATGCACCCCTAACCTGTAAGAACCAAATGTAAAGATTTTCCCTCCAACATTTTCAATTACAGCTTGTGGAAGACTCTTGCTTTCACTGATTTCTCGTATCCATTCCTTTACCAGATTATTTAATTTCTCCAAAATTAAAATCCTGCGCTGCAGTTCCTCTTCCTCTTCAAAAACCCCGAAGGGCTTCAGAGTTTCAATTAATTTCTGGGTAAGTATGCAGTCAGTCTCCCTGGGGGGTGCTAAACTGATGGGGGAAGAGATGCCGTAGTGCTTGGGCGGCGGCGGGGTCCGCTGTGGTCCCAGGGTGGTCACCGGAAACGGCATCATCTCTAGCGCTGGCCCCGCCACGCCGCGTCCCCCGCCACCGCGACCTCCGTGGCCGCCGCCCGGGTCATGATCCGCTGAGGCGGGAGGGGCGGGGCTCCTACCAGCCCAGGTCCGACCCGCTCCCGCTCCGCTCCCGCCGCTTCAAGCGCCTCTCCGCGGTCCCCTCGGCCCCAACATGGCGCCGGGGCCCTCGCCGCTGCGTTCTAGAACGCCCACGCACGCCACGCCGCGCGCCACGCACACCACGCGCCACGCGTGCCACGGCGCATGCGCGTGCGCAGAGCCTCATGGGGGCTGTAGTTCCGGGGGCTCCGCCCCGGCGTCCGGCCGGTCGGGGCGGGCAGGGGTGCGCCCCGGCTCTGGCCGTGTCAAAGCTGTGTAAGACATTTACCCAGACCTACCGTCCATCTGCTCGCTCGCCATTTCCTCCTTGCCTGGTCTCCGTCCCCTCCCGCGGCACCTTCAGGGGCCTCTGTCCTCAGGCCCGTCCTTGAGGACCCCTGCAAAGCGGGGTCCGTTGCGGAGGAGCGGCTCTGTCACGTCCCCGGTGGTCGGCTACCTGCGTGGCAGCGGGGCAGCCGCAACCGCTGCTCCGGGTTCTCGGTCCTGTCCTGTCCAGCTCTGAGGGTCCCATCTGCTGACCTCTGGTTTCTGCGGCTCCCGGTGCGGAGTCTGCAGCCGGCTAGCCTGCTGCTCGCCGGTCTTGTCTTTGTGACTGCTGTAAAAATCCGTCTGAAATGTCCTGCGGCATCGCCACCAGGGAGCAAGGGGGCGAACCTCTCGTTCAAATCACGCGGCAAACGCCAAGTCCTGAATCGGAAGACTGGTGCTCGCAGAGTCACGCTGCCGGGTGACTCTCGGGCACGTCCGTGGAGTATGTCCTCCCTCCATTCTCTTGACCCTCTTCGTGTGGACATGTGACAGGCCTTCCCATCAGTTCCCCGTGACTCTCAGCCCATGTTTCTGTCTGCATGATGCCGGGTCTACCTTGTTCTCTAGTTCTCTTTGGTCGTATTTAGTCTGCTGTTTAAGCCATCACCAAAGTGTCCCTTTACAAACTTGCATTTTTATTACTAAAAGCATCTTTTTCTTTTCCAAATCCTCCCTACCTTTTGGGATGACATTCTGTTCTTTCCTGTTTTCCTTCTATCTTGTGTTTCATTAAATATTTTAAAACTACTTACTCAATATTTTATAATTAATGGTTCCAGTTCCCAGGTTCTTAAGAATTTGATTCTGCCGTTTTCTACTGACTCATTTCAAGTAGCATCACTTCATGTGTCTTGTTATTTGGGGTTCTGAGCTCATCTCTGGCCAGATTTGGGAGGCCTGTGTGGAAGGATGTCCTTCCAAAGAGTACTTTGTTCTATCCGATGTCCTTGTACATCATCAAATTATGTACAATGTAATTTCTTATCCACATCAGTTAAATAGTACAATTCTGAACTCCAAACATGTGAGAGGAAGAGTGATTTTCAATTCCAGCAAAGAGTATTTAGTTTTTCCCACCCAGAGCCCGGGTCAAGAGAGAGAACTCTTTGTCATCTCCTTTTACCAGGTAACAACTTCTTCCTATTCTATCTTTTCATTGAGTGTGTCCACCTTTATAGTTTTCAAATAGATATGAGGTCTCAGTTCCAACTCGCTACATCTTTCTTGGACAGCTATTAAACTTAAGTTTCTTGATTACAAAGACTGGCAAACAACTGCAAGGCAATTTTAGCTTCATAATCAGTTCAGATTCTAAGGTCCTCATTTTGTCATTTTTGTCACCCCTAGGGATTCCTTTATTTTGGGAGGTTCTCAGCTACGCATCTAAAAGGAGAATTGTTACAATTCATCCAGCACTTCCAGGTACTTTATACCGAAAGCTCTTCCAGGCTAATTAATCCCACATATTTCCAGAAATGTAAGCGCCCCTTTCTCAACCTATTTCAACGCGGTATGTGTGCTAAACATTCCAGCAACATAGCTGCCAGCAGGGCACTTAGCGACCTCCATGTCGCCTAACAGCGGCTTCTATGGCCTGCGCCTTTCCTGACCTACAGGAGACTCACACTGGCCTCCGCGGTACCACCCACTGTGTCGTCTTGTACATCTCTGGTCTCCCCTCAGTCTAATTTGCTCCTTCATTACTTTTCCTCTAAAGTTGGAGCTCTTCCAGTTTCCTTGTTAGGCCCTTGACTCTTCTCACTGTATATGTATTTATTACCTGTGTCATCTATCAATTTTCACAGCTTAAGTATCACCTATTAACAGCTTCAGTTTTTATAACCTGCTCTCTTCTGAGCTCCAGATCCACATCATCTGACTTCCTTCCTGACACCTCCACTTGGATGTCTCAAACTGGACACAGTCTACAGAGAACTCTTACTCTTCCCTCCATAATCTGTTTCTCTCTGGGAAGTCACCCCTTTGGTAAATGGCACCTCCATCTACTCAGCTGCTCTTATCAGAAATCTGGGCTTCATTCTTGACACCTCTTTCTCATCTTTGACATCTAGTTCATTTACAAATATTGATGATTCTACCTCCAGGATATATTTGGGATTCATCAGCTTCTACCTGCTTTTTCATAACTCTAGTCCAAACTACCATCAACTTTCACCTAGACTCCTACAATAAAGTAATTAATCTATTACTGACTTTTCAAAGTATTCTCTACCCAGTAGCCACATCAGTCTTTAACCCCTTCAGTGGCCTCCCATTAAACTGAGTCTAAAATCCAAAATCCCTAACAACCCCTACCAACTCTCCAGCTTCACCTCTCACAACTTCCCCCACCCTCTGGCTACCTTGCCTTTTGGTAACTCACATTTGTTTCATTCTCTCGCATATTAAAAAGCAGAGACATCACTTTGCCAACAAAGGTCTGTATAGTCGAAGCTATGATTTTTCCAGTAGTCATGTAGGGATGTGAGAGTTGGACTGTAAAGAAGGCTGAGTGTCAAAGAATTGACATTTTCAAACTGTGGTGCTGAAAAACACTCTTTAGAGTCCCGTGGACAGCAAGGAGATCAAACCAGTCAATCCTAAAGGAAATCAACCCCTAATATTCATTGGAAGGACTGATGTTGAAGCTCCAATACTTTGGCCACCTGATGCGAACAGCCAACTCCTTGGAAAGACCCTGGTGCTGGGGAAGGTTGAAGGTAGGAGGAGAAAAGGGTGACAGAGGAAGAGATGGTTGAATCAACTCTGGGAGATAGTGCAGGGCAGGGCAGCCTGGCATGCTGCAGTGCATGGGGCTGCAAAGACTCAGACGCGACTCAGCGAGTGACACCAGCAGCAACTCACCCCCGCGCTCTGCACAGCGCGGCCCCCTCCGCCCAGAAGGCGCCTCCCTGCCACCTCCTGCCCACTGCTCCTCACTGCTTGCTGCTGTCAACTGAGATTGGCTTGAATTGCATCTCAGAACATCCCTAACCTCCCTGCGACATTAGCACCTATACTCTTCTTTTATAGCACATAGAATTTGTAATTCTGTGTTTTTCAAATCATCTTTATTTCCCACTGTAGACTCTTAGCTCCATGAGAACATGACCTGTTTGTTAACTGCTGTATATCCAGTACCTAGTCAAGTACCGAACATAGTAGCACTCGACAAATATCTGCTGACAAATAAATGAATGAGCATGACAAAGAAAATTATTTCAGGACTTCCATTAGTTCAGTGGCTAAGACTCCACACTCCTAACGCAGGGGGCCTGGATTTGATCCCCAGTCAGGGAACTAAGTCCCACACGTCACATCTAAGAGTTCGCATGCCGTGACTGAAGATGCCACTGCTGCAACGAAGACCCGGTACAGCCAAATGAGTATTTGAAAGGGAAAATTCGTTCACCTTCAAATCTTGGGCTAATCAATATTCAGAAGGTCCATCTCTTGAGTTTTGTTTAGGCCGAGGGATCATTTCAAAGTCACACTCTGACTCCGGAAAGTCAGCTCACGGCTCAGTCCACAGTTGCTCACGCCCACCGGCCCAGGACACCTCTCTGGCCTCATGACTCCAGCACCCTGCCACCCTGCAGCACCTTCTGATTTTAACCTGCTTCCGGGAAGATTTCCATGTGGCGGGGGCTCGTACTCAATGCTTGAGGATATGGAACGGCTGTACAAGAAAGCAGGCAGCCTGTCTGCAGAAGCTGCTGTCCTGCCATAATCCAGAAGCGCCATTCCCTAGTGGGAACCCCCAGGGAACTTGGCACAGGCCCTGGAGAGGGTCATCATGCCATGGTCTGTAGCAGGAAGAATTAGATGCAACCTGAGTACCCATGATTAGGAGAATGGATCATGGAATAAAAAAGCAAGTGGTGGAAACCATGACTCAAGCAAAAGCAGTGCCTCAAAAAAGAGCTGGATTTACATGCAGCACCATGGGTAGAACTAAATCTTGTATCTTATTACACATTATATAGTATATAATGTCTGTAGATGGAAAGAAAGCTTAAACTTCAATATAGTCAAATTTATCTGCCTTACCCCATGGTTTGTGTCCTATAAAGAAGGCTGAGCACTGAAGAATTGATGCTTTTGAACTGTGATGTTGGAGAAGACTCTTGAGAATCCCTTGGAATGCAAGATCCAATTAGTCTATCCTAAAAGAATTCAGTCCTGAATATTCATTGAAAGGGCTGATGCTCCAATACTTTGGCCACCTGATGCGAAGAATTAACTCATTGGAAAAGACCCTGATGCTGGGAAAGATTGAAGGCAGGAGGAGAAGGATGCGACAGAGGATGAGATGGTTGGATGGCACCACCGACACTGACATGAGTTAGAGCAAGCTCCGGGAGTTGGTGACGGACAGGGAGGCCTGGCGTGCTGCGGTCCATGGGGTCGCAAAGGTAGGACACGACTGAGCTGAACTGAAGCCTTATTTATGAAATCTTTCTTTTAGCTCTATAACTTCCTCTCTGATTTGTGGGTTTTTAAACTATTTGGAGTAAGGATCCAACTTTACTTTTCCTTCCCTGCACCGTCCACCCTAGCCATACTGTAGCCAACTCCTCGTATGTTTTGTGTCTTTCAAACATCATGCACCAGTTCTGATCTCCCCCCGTGTTTTCTGTGTTAAGCGCTGAGGCTTCGAAGACTCCTTAGATAATGTGGCCCGAAGTCTCTGGGGGGCGGGGGGGAAGGTGCTGCCAGCCAGGGCCCAGGTGGGCACCATCCAGCTCGGGGGA